CTTTGAAATTGTTGCTGGCAAGCTAGGTTTTTCCACCCTAGAAGTTTAAAAAGGTGATCAGCATCTACGTCATAGCTTGAGTAGGTCAAAACACGGGCTGCTTTGTTTTGTAGCTTTTGAACCTTATTCCGTAAGGTTATCCCACAGTTTCCCCAAACAATGTTGCAATAATCAAAGTGTGGCTGTATTAAAGCTTGATATATTAGTTGTAAGGTCGCCTGAGGGACAAGGTGCCTTATTCGTTTTATGGCCCCAATACCAGAAGCGACTTTCTTTGTTACTTTCTCGATATGGCCACTCCAATCAAGTCTGTCATCGATGGTCACTCCAAGTGATTTTGCGGTAGTGACCTGGCTAACTTGAAAATCATTAATTGCAAATGTCGGGGACTCTGTGAGAGTACTTAGCCTCTGCCTAGATCCGATAAGCATAAATTCGGTTTTAGTCATATTTAGAGTAAGTTTGTTTGCTCTCAGCCAATTGTGAACATTTTCTAAATCTTGATTTAGATGCAACTGAATATTGTCTGCATTATCACCTGCGTATGTAAGGTGGGTGTCATCAGCGTACATCCCCGGCTCACAATTTGAAAGACAGTTTGGAAGATCGTTGATGTATAACAGAAATAGTAATGGACCTAAAATCGTCCCCTGGGGAACACCACAACTTCATTTCTCAGTCATTTTAAGACCCTGAGTATTGGTCCGGCCCCGGGAATCGAACCCGCGACCTCCCGCTCTGCAGTCAAGCGCTCTACCGACTGAGCTAATCCTGCCGCGGCCATACAACCCCATGTAAGCCGCTATGGAAGTGCGGTATTTACTATCTTTGCCTTTGATTTCCTCCTCGTTTGCACTTCTTTGCACCATATTTGCCCCGAGCAAATTTGTGTAAATCTAATCTGTTTTCGTGAAGTGAGGAAAATATCAGCCATACAGCGTGATTCGAACCCATACACACTGCGTTACTAATGTAATGTTCATATTGATCTCTTAATCCTAAACGCTGGAATCAGGGTAATTTCATGTGGCTTTGTATCTTTACTGTAAAAAGCAAGATTGTTGCTTACCTTATATTTCTTATATTTTCCCATGGTCTCTGCAACCATTTCATGTCCAAGAGGGAAAACGTTCGGTTGATCAAAAAGTTCGCTTAAAATAAACGACTTTCCCTCTCTGTAAGGACCGGCAATTGACACCACGCACACTGGACCTAAAAGAACGAGAAACTCTCTTTCCAACGAGTAACAGTGAAGACCACCCCCGGAGAAGAGGCGGGGGGCGGGGGCTCCCTATAATGGAGGCTCGGCCCTAAAGGGATATCAAAGGGTAGGGAAATCACGAGTTAAAGTATATGAAAGGGTCGGAAAATTTATCTTTTAAGTCTTTAGAAGGGCCTTTAAAATGTTTCAGGATAAGACTAACTTATTTTAATGTTACAGTTAAATGACTAAAAAAGACTTCTTGTGTTGGCGATTATTCTCATCCTCTGTCTTTCCTATTAAGGGGGTGTGTTAGAGAGGTACCATGTTTTTATTTATCTTTATTTTATTTTTTGTCAGTAAAAGTTTACGAAAGGGATACCTCTTTGGTCAAAAAAGAATTGAAAGAAATAGGGTGGGACCACAGGGCTGGGTCTCCCCGCGTCGTTGAGTAGCGCCCACCGAGCGAAGGCTATTCCTAGATTTTTTCTTTTATTTCTTGCGTGGAAAATTACTAAACCAACTGACTGCACTCTTGCTTTACTACCTTTGCAGACATGACGCGCCAAAAGCACATTCTCACTACCTGGACTTGTTCGCAGATGATTTTCTTTAATTCGTGTGGGGAATTCTTCTGACGATAGTTCAGCTTCTCGTCTCGATCTGCCCTGCCGCACTCTGTGTTCCTGGTGGAAAGACAATATGTGGCTTAATCATGTGAAATAAAAAACTACTACGAATCACAGGAGGAAGAACAGCAGTTGTCTCGCAAGTGAGATGCAGAAACAAATCAAGTAAGTTTGGACGACATCAGAACTTGAACAAGGTTTCTCCGGATTCCAGTCCAGTGCTCTTGCCTCCTAACGTGTAGACTTAAGTCCTTCATTACCCATCAGGTATTGCTAAACGAGCTTTCGATCAAACAATTCAATCAAACCAAAAAGATCTAACTAGAATAACAATAAACTAATCGTCGAGGCACTTACTAATCGGCTGTAGCTCTCTACACATTCTTTGAGCGATTGCTATCGCAACCCATATTTTCTGAGGCTTCCCAAACAGAATGGCGCAAACCATTTGATTTTCCAACCTGAATTTCCGGTTTTCCCATGTAAATGGTAGGTATTCTTTCTAGTGTTGAAATTTCTTACTCTCCGCTTTTTCCCCACAAAGTTTAGTTTAATCAGAAACTAATAACCCTGTATCAGTGTCTGGTTTAGTACACAACACAGTACAGATTGTAATTACCCATACTATCTGCTGAGAGTCATTTGACGACACCTTGGTGGTACCTCTTGCAACTGGATACATATCTGTCAAAAGGATAAATTCTGATTCAAACTACGTGGTTTACTGAAAATTATTAATACTGTCAACTCGTTGCACAGATTTACTCTTTACACAATTTCCTGCTGCTATTTCTCGTCTTTTAGTTTCAAAAGACTTATCAGCAGACTGCAAAACAGTCGGTATTTTCTCTTAAAGAAAGCCACAAAGCGAAAATTGCCTTTATGCACTTATAAACGCCACCCTGGTGCTGAATAACGAAGAATGGAATATCGGTGATAAGGCATTTGTGCCTCCCGTGTCTCTCCCAAGTCTCCCTCTCCGTTTTGTCACTCACTCTGGACACACTTCCACGGTTCAGTTAACGAAAGCTTGTATTCTTTAAAAAACCCTTCCACAGTTTTTTCAACTTTTGACTTGGACAATTTTGGGTATATCCGTCGACACCGCTGGAAAGAGCACCTTTAAATTAGTATCAGTTTAAAAGTGATATGTCTTTAACTAGCAAAGAAATAGCTCCGCAAAGTTGTGAAAATTTGTAAACATTTGCAAGGTGGAGAGTTTTTGCCCCCGCCATACAAAGGTCTGTAAAATTTCGCCACTTTAAGGAGCTATATCTTCGTGATAGATCTTCTATTTTCGTTAGTTCCCAACAAATCAATTTCAAACTTGGCAATTATACTACTGTAAAGGCGCTCTTTCCAGCGGAGTAGAGCTTGTACGGGATTGAAGTGTTTTTCAGGCTTTCTTTTCGCAACTGCAAAAGTTGCGTCTATAACTGCGATGATCTTCTTTCATTATAATTCTTCACCCTGCAGTTCTCATATGTGATTTTCATACATTCATAACTTCATCTTATATCAACCTCGTGTTACATGTTCTTTTACATCCCAATTTTTATGGAAAATACCTTGTTTACCGTGGGTATCGGTTTCCATTGGCTGTATGACCTAGAATCATAGAAAAATGTACACAGCTAGTGAATACATCGAAAGAACAATATCTCTCTTTTAATTACTTCCATGGAATTATTGCCACAAAAATATGACTGACCAGTAAAAGGTACTTCGAGTTCTAACTTGGATTATTTTTTATTTTATTTTATTACCTTCGCCATAAAACAAACAAACAAACAAACAGAAAGAACGTTGGCAGGGAAACCGCAACAGCTGTGGCCTATTACAGCGGGCCCGGATTCTGTAGATAAGGTACGGTTCACACTCCGTATTAGGAGCCGGGTCATTTTTTTTTTAAGTGGCCTCTTGTTAACACGTATACGATGAAAACGGCCACCGACAGCGTGGCCTGTTCAGGCTTGTACGGGATTCGAACCCTTTACCTCGGCGATATTCAACGACCTGCTCCCAGTTGGCTTGTTAGCTTAATTGGTAGAGCGCTGCACCGGTATCGCAGAGGTCAAGGGTTCGAATCCCGTACAAGCCTGAATTTTTTTTTCACGCTTTCTTTTCGCAACTGCAAAAGTTGAGTATATAACTGCGATGATCATCCCTCATTTAATTCAAGTCTTCACTCCGCAGTTCATATATATGATTTTCATATCTTCATAACTTCGAGTTAGAGTAATGTTAGCTTTGTTTGTAAAGTAATGTTAGCTTTGTTTGTAAAGAAATAGGGTACCTTTTCACCAATAACCGACTTTGGCTTTGTATCTTTACTGTAAAAAGCAAGATTGTTGTTTACCTTATATTTCTTATATTTTCCCATGGTCTCTGCAACCATTTCATGTCCAAGAGGAAAACGTTCGGTTGATCAAAAGTTCGCTTAAAATAAACGACTTTCCCTCTCTGTAAGGACCGGCAATTGACACCACGCACACTGGACCTAAAAGAACGAGAAACTCTCTTTCCAACGAGTAACAGTGAAGACCACCCCGGAGAAGAGGCGGGGGCGGGGGCTCCCTATAATGGAGGCTCGGCCCTAAAGGGATATCAAAGGGTAGGGAAATCACGAGTTAAAGTATATGAAAGGGTCGGAAAATTTATCTTTTAAGTCTTTAGAAGGGCCTTTAAAATGTTTCAGGATAAGACTAACTTATTTTAATGTTACAGTAAAATGACTAAAAAAAGACTTCTTGTGTTGGCGATTATTCTCATCCTCTGTCTTTCCTATTAAGGGGGTGTGTTAGAGAGGTACCATGTTTTTATTTATCTTTATTTTATTTTTTGTCAGTAAAAGTTTACGAAAGGGATACCTCTTTGGTCAAAAAAGAATTGAAAGAAATAGGGTGGGACCACAGGGCTGGGTCTCCCCGCGTCGTTGAGTAGCGCCCACCGAGCGAAGGCTATTCCTAGATAAACGATCTGACAATATCATTATCTTACTTTCAGTCTGAGCGTCATAAAAATTTAACCGGTGATGATGCTCATTCGGTTTTACAACCAGGAAGAAAGTACCGGCAAAAGAGTGTTGTCTTATACTCCACATTATTTTTCAGGTTGTTCGCAATCCATGGTAAGAAACGGCCACGTACCTTTGACTTTCCTGAGCTTCTCAATGGCTTCACCAACCACATACAGCGACGAGCGTTGTTCTTCTGTTTTCGTACACTCACGAGCGTGTGAATTCCACTTGCAGTTACTTGGGAGACAAAGAGGAATTGCTTTCCGCTCATCACCAGTGCTTACACTCGCAGTCCCTGTTGCTACTAATGAAAAGTGGTAACTGTCTTGGTATTTTTTAACTTAAAAATACTATTTCATAAGCCCGCACCGGTGCTTAAATATTAATGTTACGGTGGCTGGAAAACATTGATCCAAAAGTAAGCAGTTGGCGGAGAACACCTAACGAGATCTTGCTCGCTGATCATTTAATTCGGGGGACAAAATCTTTTATAACGCCTAATATCAACACGAAGAAGTCGTTTTTACCATATCAAGCGAATTTCATCCCAGAACTCAGACTCCAAACCAGGAAACAAGCAGAAAATGAACAAACGGTTAACAGAGGGTACTTATGGCAGTGATGTAAACAACTACTTTATTCAAGAATCAAATGTATTGAACATAAAAGTTTAATTGAGGACACTGTTTATGGCCGCCATTGACAAGTGATCATCTAAGCCACACTTATTATCTAGTCTAGTTTTGAGGATCGGTACTGGCCGCCGTTGGAGCGAAACCAGCCGATATCGCGCTTTGTAGTCTAGCACTCCTGCCCAACCTTGCTAACCTTTCTGCGAGTTTATGAAGTTCTAATAAACATACGAATTTATAGATTTTTTTTTTTATTTCTTGCGTGGAAAATTACTAAACCAACTGACTGCACTCTTGCTTTACTACCTTTGCAGACATGACGCGCCAAAAGCACATTCTCACTACCTGGACTTGTTCGCAGATGATTTTCTTTAATTCGTGTGGGGAATTCTTCTGACGATAGTTCAGCTTCTCGTCTCGATCTGCCCTGCCGCACTCTGTGTTCCTGGTGGAAAGACAATATGTGGCTTAATCATGTGAAATAAAAAAACTACTACGAATCACAGGAGGAAGAACAGCAGTTGTCTCGCAAGTGAGATGCAGAAACAAATCAAGTAAGTTTGGACGACATCAGAACTTGAACAAGGTTTCTCCGGATTCCAGTCCAGTGCTCTTGCCTCCTAACGTGTAGACTTAAGTCCTTCATTACCCATCAGGTATTGCTAAACGAGCTTTCGATCAAACAATTCAATCAAACCAAAAAGATCTAACTAGAATAACAATAAACTAATCGTCGAGGCACTTACTAATCGGCTGTAGCTCTCTACACATTCTTTGAGCGATTGCTATCGCAACCCATATTTTCTGAGGCTTCCCAAACAGAATGGCGCAAACCATTTGATTTTCCAACCTGAATTTCCGGTTTTCCCATGTAAATGGTAGGTATTCTTTCTAGTGTTGAAATTTCTTACTCTCCGCTTTTTCCCCACAAAGTTTAGTTTAATCAGAAACTAATAACCCTGTATCAGTGTCTGGTTTAGTACACAACACAGTACAGATTGTAATTACCCATACTATCTGCTGAGAGTCATTTGACGACACCTTGGTGGTACCTCTTGCAACTGGATACATATCTGTCAAAAGGATAAATTCTGATTCAAACTACGTGGTTTACTGAAAATTATTAATACTGTCAACTCGTTGCACAGATTTACTCTTTACACAATTTCCTGCTGCTATTTCTCGTCTTTTAGTTTCAAAAGACTTATCAGCAGACTGCAAAACAGTCGGTATTTTCTCTTAAAGAAAGCACACAAAGCGAAAATTGCCTTTATGCACTTATAAACGCCACCCTGGTGCTGAATGACGAAGAATGGAATATCGGTGATAAGGCATTTGTGCCTCCCGTGTCTCTCCCAAGTCTCCCTCTCCGTTTTGTCACTCACTCTGGACACACTTCCACGGTTCAGTTAACGAAAGCTTGTATTCTTTAAAAAACCCTTCCACAGTTTTTTCAACTTTTGACTTGGACAATTTTGGGTATATCCGTCGACACCGCTGGAAAGAGCACCTTTAAATTAGTATCAGTTTAAAAGTGATATGTCTTTAACTAGCAAAGAAATAGCTCCGCAAAGTTGCGAAAATTTGTAAACATTTGCAAGGTGGAGAGTTTTTGCCCCCGCCATACAAAGGTCTGTAAAATTTCGCCACTTTAAGAAGCTATATCTTCGTGATAGATCTTCTATTTTCGTTAGTTCCCAACAAATCAATTTCAAACTTGGCAATTATACTACTGTAAAGGCGCTCTTTCCAGCGGAGTAGAGCTTGTACGGGATTGAAGCGATGATCTTCTTTCATTATAATTCTTCACCCTGCAGTTCTCATATGTGATTTTCATACATTCATAACTTCATCTTATATCAACCTCGTGTTACATGTTCTTTTACATCCCAATTTTTATGGAAAATACCTTGTTTACCGTGGGTATCGGTTTCCATTGGCTGTATGACCTAGAATCATAGAAAAATGTACACAGCTAGTGGATACATCGAAAGAACAATATCTCTCTTTTAATTACTTCCATGGAATTATTGCCACAAAAATATGACTGACCAGTAAAAGGTACTTCGAGTTCTAACTTGGATTATTTTTTATTTTATTTTATTACCTTCGCCATAAAACAAACAAACAAACAAACAAACAGAAAGAACGTTGGCAGGGAAACCGTAACAGCTGTGGCCTATTACAGCGGGCCCGGATTCTGTAGATAAGGTACGGTTCACACTCCGTATTAGGAGCCGGGTCATTTTTTTCTTTAAGTGGCCTCTTGTTAACACGTATACGATGAAAACGGCCACCGACAGCGTGGCCTGTTCAGGCTTGTACGGGATTCGAACCCTTTACCTCGGCGATATTCAACGACCTGCTCCCAGTTGGCTTGTTAGCTTAATTGGTAGAGCGCTGCACCGGTATCGCAGAGGTCAAGGGTTCGAATCCCGTACAAGCCTGAATTTTTTTTTCACGCTTTCTTTTCGCAACTGCAAAAGTTGAGTATATAACTGCGATGATCATCCCTCATTTAATTCAAGTCTTCACTCCGCAGTTCATATATATGATTTTCATATCTTCATAACTTCGAGTTAGAGTAATGTTAGCTTTGTTTGTAAAGTAATGTTAGCTTTGTTTGTAAAGAAATAGGGTACCTTTTCACCAATAACCGACTTTGGCTTTGTATCTTTACTGTAAAAAGCAAGATTGTTGTTTACCTTATATTTCTTATATTTTCCCATGGTCTCTGCAACCATTTCATGTCCAAGAGGGAAAACGTTCGGTTGATCAAAAAGTTCGCTTAAAATAAACGACTTTCCCTCTCTGTAAGGACCGGCAATTGACACCACGCACACTGGACCTAAAAGAACGAGAAACTCTCTTTCCAACGAGTAACAGTGAAGACCACCCCCGGAGAAGAGGCGGGGGGCGGGGGCTCCCTATAATGGAGGCTCGGCCCTAAAGGGATATCAAAGGGTAGGGAAATCACGAGTTAAAGTATATGAAAGGGTCGGAAAATTTATCTTTTAAGTCTTTAGAAGGGCCTTTAAAATGTTTCAGGATAAGACTAACTTATTTTAATGTTACAGTAAAATGACTAAAAAAGACTTCTTGTGTTGGCGATTATTCTCATCCTCTGTCTTTCCTATTAAGGGGGTGTGTTAGAGAGGTACCATGTTTTTATTTATCTTTATTTTATTTTTTGTCAGTAAAAGTTTACGAAAGGGATACCTCTTTGGTCAAAAAAGAATTGAAAGAAATAGGGTGGGACCACAGGGCTGGGTCTCCCCGTGTCGTTGAGTAGCGCCCACCGAGCAAAGGCTATTCCTAGATAAACGATCCGACAATATCATTATCTTACTTTCAGTCTGAGCGTCATAAAAATTTAACCGGTGATGATGCTCATTCGGTTTTACAACCAGGAAGAAAGTACCGGCAAAAGAGTGTTGTCTTATACTCAACATTATTTTTCAGGTTGTTCGCAATCCATGGTAAGAAACGGCCACGTACCTTTGACTTCCCTGAGCTTCTCAATGGTTTCATCAACCACATACAGCGACGAGCGTTGTTCTTCTGTTTTCGTACACTCACGAGCGTGTGAATTCCACTTGCAGTTACTTGGGAGACAAAGAGGAATTGCTTTCCGCTCATCACCAGTGCTTACACTCGCAGTCCGTGTTGCTACTAATGAAAAGTGGTAACTGTCTTGGTATTTTTTAACTTAAAAATACTATTTCATAAGCCCGCACCGGTGCTTAAATATTAATGTTACGGTGGCTGGAAAACATTGATCCAAAAGTAAGCAGTTGGCGGAGAACACCTAACGAGATCTTGCTCGCTGATCATTTAATTCGGGGGACAAAATCTTTTATAACGCCTAATATCAACACGAAGAAGTCGTTTTTACCATATCAAGCGAATTTCATCCCAGAACTCAGACTCCAAACCAGGAAACAAGCAGAAAATGAACAAACGGTTAACAGAGGGTACTTATGGCAGTGATGTAAACAACTACTTTATTCAAGAATCAAATGTATTGAACATAAAAGTTTAATTGAGGACACTGTTTATGGCCGCCATTGACAAGTGATCATCTAAGCCACACTTATTATCTAGTCTAGTTTTGAGGATCGGTACTGGCCGCCGTTGGAGCGAAACCAGCCGATATCGCGCTTTGTAGTCTAGCACTCCTGCCCAACCTTGCTAACCTTTCTGCGAGTTTATGAAGTTCTAATAAACATACGAATTTATAGATTTTTTCTTTTATTTCTCGCGTGGAAAATTACTAAACCAACTGACTGCACTCTTGCTTTACTACCTTTGCAGACATGACGCGCCAAAAGCACATTCTCACTACCTGGACTTGTTCGCAGATGATTTTCTTTAATTCGTGTGGGGAATTCTTCTGACGATAGTTCAGCTTCTCGTCTCGATCTGCCCTGCCGCACTCTGTGTTCCTGGTGGAAAGACAATATGTGGCTTAATCATGTGAAATAAAAAACTACTACGAATCACAGGAGGAAGAACAGCAGTTGTCTCGCAAGTGAGATGCAGAAACAAATCAAGTAAGTTTGGACGACATCAGAACTTGAACAAGGTTTCTCCGGATTCCAGTCCAGTGCTCTTGCCTCCTAACGTGTAGACTTAAGTCCTTCATTACCCATCAGGTATTGCTAAACGAGCTTTCGATCAAACAATTCAATCAAACCAAAAAGATCTAACTAGAATAACAATAAACTAATCGTCGAGGCACTTACTAATCGGCTGTAGCTCTCTACACATTCTTTGAGCGATTGCTATCGCAACCCATATTTTCTGAGGCTTCCCAAACAGAATGGCGCAAACCATTTGATTTTCCAACCTGAATTTCCGGTTTTCCCATGTAAATGGTAGGTATTCTTTCTAGTGTTGAAATTTCTTACTCTCCGCTTTTTCCCCACAAAGTTTAGTTTAATCAGAAACTAATAACCCTGTATCAGTGTCTGGTTTAGTACACAACACAGTACAGATTGTAATTACCCATACTATCTGCTGAGAGTCATTTGACGACACCTTGGTGGTACCTCTTGCAACTGGATACATATCTGTCAAAAGGATAAATTCTGATTCAAACTACGTGGTTTACTGAAAATTATTAATACTGTCAACTCGTTGCACAGATTTACTCTTTACACAATTTCCTGCTGCTATTTCTCGTCTTTTTTAGTTTCAAAAGACTTATCAGCAGACTGCAAAACAGTCGGTATTTTCTCTTAAAGAAAGCACACAAAGCGAAAATTGCCTTTATGCACTTATAAACGCCACCCTGGTGCTGAATGACGAAGAATGGAATATCGGTGATAAGGCATTTGTGCCTCCCGTGTCTCTCCCAAGTCTCCCTCTCCGTTTTGTCACTCACTCTGGACACACTTCCACGGTTCAGTTAACGAAAGCTTGTATTCT